AACTCTTGAACCACGATTGCCCTAGCTATGTTAGCATAATACAAACAGTGAAGCTGGAGGATGAATGCTAACTTTTTTCCACTCAATAAAAGTTAACGTGAGGGTTCCCGAAGGTTCGGTACAATTGCAATCGCATTGCAGGATGCTGTAAACGGGCTGAAATTCAGTCAGGAGAACAACTGAGAAAATCCATCCACAATACGAGGTTAGTTATCAATATACTGCTTTAAAATGATTAGCGGTAATAAAAACTGAGAGAGGCCGACAGTGATCACTGACTGTTTTTAGGGGCTTGTTGAGATTCAATAGAACAAGATACAAAGCATTAAAACATGTAAAAAACACAAAAGCCTTATTAAACGCAGAGTAGTTTGGGCCCGGAAGCAGGATTCGTCACGTCATCACTTAAAGACCGAATATTGTAAGGTAGACCCTACAATAATAAACCAGGCCAGGGAGGGGCGGGGCCATCTGCTGCGACCGGTTGCGGTGAGAGAGGGAAGACAGGATAAAGACATGCTGTGGAATAGAGCCAGAGATTAATAACAAGTATGATTCAATGTGGAGAGGTCTGTTAACACATGTTGAGTGAGAAAGGTGACTGAAAAGGAAATACTCAATGCATCATGGGAATCCCCCAGCTAATCCCCCCTAAATGACAGACAGAACCCAGTTCAGACTTTAAGCCGGCGAGGCGTGATTGCAGATGCCGCTCAGGTGCGTCCGCCTCCCCTGCAGCGGCACCGCAGACCATTCACTCCACACTGATATGCTCATTTCTAATCCAGTCCATCCTACCACCTCCAGTGGCACTGTCTCCAAACCATACACCACAGTGAGCCTCACTAGCATCTTCTAAACTTTACCTTTCACTCTTTCAATGCAAAGTCCAGAAACCAGTGGATGATGTCACAGTGGCTACATCTATTTTTCATATGCAGTCTATGTGGATGACATCAGTTGAGGTTGCTTTTTTTGTGCACGTGTATGTGCAAACTTTTCCACATGTCAAAGGTTTTTGATTATTAACCAAAGTGTTGGATTAATTAAATCTTTGACCTAACCTAGCCACCTGAGTTCACAAAGATGACAAATGTCTTCATTGAATTTCCTGATAATCCATCCAACAGCTGTTGAGACTTTTTACTCTAAATAGTATAATTTTTTTATCCCGTGCGGATAATTTTCATCGATGAATAAAATGTGTGGTAGTCTAGCCAATAGGCATTATTAAATCAGAGTTAGTTAAATCAGTAGGTTGTGTAAGGGACACCATATTTATTTTGATGGATGGAATACACTGAGGACATGTTTTGAATTAGAAATGATGGACACAACAATTACCACAAAGACATCTATGAGAACAAGCATTTAATGGTTGATCCATTTATCAGACACATGTCTGCGGTTTGCATTCGAAACTCTAAATCTTCCCCTTATTTGCTTAGCTGTTCCTAATAGGGCCTTATTTTAGAAATCACTGATCAGGCTCATCAATCAGGGAGAAAACACCCAGACGTTCCTTTCCTTCTCGGGGAACCCACATGCCAGTCAGCTGGAGGAATCCTCAGGCTTGTGGTTGAGACGAGGGGGAAGAGGAGCAGACTTGGCGGATCAAGGGGTTTCAGGCTTGGAGCGGTAGCTGCATTCCTCCATGTCTCTCTCTTCTTCTGCTGATGTCTCACTCTCGTTTTCTCTCGCTTTCCCCCCCTCCATCCATCTCCATTTCCTGTTCCTCCAGCCCCAATGGGGTTGTCAGATGGGATCGTTGATGTCTCCCTGATGTCGTGGCCTCCGAATGCCTGTCCTGGCCAAGCTGTCTGTCTGCACTGTCCCCGTTGTTCACCTCTCATCCCACACAGGTGCTAATAGTAATAATTTCATCTGGCTTATATTGCTTTGGGTAATGTATTACCTATTCAGTCTGCATCAGTCATCAGTCAGAGCCTGTTTGAATAAAAGCACAGCTCCCTTCACAGCGTCTTGCTAAAGGCTGATTTGTTTTTCTTTTCTTGACGTCATCCTGGTCATATTTGGATTTCTTTGACAAGATGAAAATGAAAGGTCTTCAGGTTGCCTTTTGTGTGGTAATACTATATGAAAGAAGTGCAGTGGGAAGAATTTACTTTAGGGAAAAAGAGAGGATGTACAAGTAAGCATTTAGAAGATGTTGCCCACCGAGAGATAAAAGAAAACCATAATGTCATTGTGGCTCTTTTCTCTCTTGCTCAGTAGTGTGTTTCTACAGTAATGGATGTGCAGCCTAGAAAACAGATAAAAATCTTTAGTAATTACCTCTGAGTCATTCTGTGATCTTATCCAAAAGTTGGTCTGATAGTTATTACCGTTGGCATGGTGAAACCTGGAGAAAGGCGCACACACTGTACATGCAGACAGATGGAAAGAGAGAGAGAGAGAGAACACAACACACCCTCAGCAGACGCTGACAGGTATCCAAAACAGATGATCCTCACACCCAATAGCATGTTAACATGGATAAAGAACCCATTTCAAACTCCTCTGGAAATCTGAAGGCTGGCTTTGCAGAGCTGCCTAGATCTAAATCTGCCACTGTGTGAGACGTGCACGCTACCTGCCAGCCTGTTTAGCATAAATGAATTATAAACGGACATAAAAAACTAGGATTTGCAGCCTATTAAATCATTTTAACCTTGTTATTATAAAGTGAAATCAGACATTTTTTTTCTGTCTTGGTGAGAGACAAAGCTTCACATCCAGCTCAGTCTGAGTGGAGCTGCTGTTTCGACACAGGATGGAGCCGGTGAAGCTGTGGCTGAATGCCATTTAAAAACTCCTATTTGAGAAACATATACCAGTTCTGATGTGTTCATGCCATAGATGATATATAAAAATAGATGAGTGGAAACTCTGCATTTACGACGCCAAGTCCTTAAGCACGCCTTCTTTCTAATGACCAGCAGGAGGCGACTCTTCTAGCTTGAAAAAGAAGCCCAGTTGGGTAGAATTGGGAAAACAACGCTTGGTTCTGCTCCTCTTTGGCCTCTGCACACACTTTCCTGTTGAATTATAGTCTCATTTGTTACTTTGAAGTCTTACTTAAAACAACATGATGTTTAGTGTTTTTAAATGTAATGAGGCATGAAAAAAGCCGGACAAAGACGCAGACTAACAGCCCCAGCTACGCACAAAAACAGCAGAGTATTCATGCAGTCGAGAACAACCGGACTCTTCAATATTTCCAATGTTTATCATTGTCTCTGCTGTCTGACAAAGTATGACCAAAAATGGGTTTTGTCGAGCAGTTTCCGGAGCATAAATGGCAAATAAACTACGCACTGTTTTACCTCAAACCCTTTTTGAACAAACCTCTCAGCTCTGAGGGGTATTGGAGGCATTTCTGTCATTGGCCCGTGGCGATAGCAGTATCTAGGTGGTGACTGATCAGCGGCTGCTTATAAACCGAGTGGTGTTTTCCCCCCAGAAGTTTCATTGTTTGAGTTAAGTGAGCTACAATAATTCAAAGAACGGAGACAATTTGACAATTTCAAGTTACGAATTCATAGATAATTACCAGATGGATAGATTAAATCTGTTTTTTGCTTTTTTGTTGTAATGTAAAAGTTTGGAAATTTTAGGATATTAAAAAATAAACCATTTTAGATTTTGACGTTAAAACTGATCCACTTTAGAGTCAGGTTTACAAGGGAGGTAATCATACCCTATACAGTCTAGAGCAGTGGTCCCCAACCCCCGGGGTTGGGGACCACCCCGGGGTTGGGGACCGCTGCTCTAAACGACGGTACTAAACGACTCACGGACCGGTCCGCGAGAGTTGAGGCTCAGGTGTGGAAATGTATGGTTTTCTGGGTTTTTATCGGTTTTCAGCGTTATTTTGTTATTGTTTTTATTGTTCGGTTTTCCTGGGTCTTTTCACGTGTGTTATGAATAAATCTTCTTTTTTTCGGTACCGGTACTAGTATTATTTTGTTGTATTTATCCGCGACACCTTAAAGGCCGGTCCGTGAAAATAATGTCGGGCATAAACTGGTCCGTGGCCCAAAAAAGGTTGGAGACCGCTGGTCTAGAGTTTGTAGTCAAAGCTTAAGCAAAGGTTTAAGCTGTTGCATACAAGTTAGCTTAACTTTACAAAAAAATTAAATGTCTTTCAAGTATTTGAGCTGTGCAAATACATGAAAAGTGGTCTGTTAGTTTGGAGCTGACACAGAGTAAAAGTTCATTAAATGTAATCATTTATTAAACATCACCAGAGTGTCACAGCACCGAGGCCTTCCCAAGACAGCCCAGACGTGATCTTTCCAGCATGTCCCGGGTCTGCCCCAGGGTCTCCTTCTGGTTGGAAATACCCACACACCTAACCTTAACAATATCAACTGGCTCCTTTCACTGTTGAGTGATTGCCGTGCTACTCTGAGCTCTTCCCGAATGACCTATCTGCTCATCAAATCTCTCCGGCTGAGCACACCCTTTGGAGGAAGCTCATTTCCGCTTTTTGTATCAGTGATCTTATTTTTTTGGTCGCTACTCAGAGCTTGTGGCTGCAAGTGGCGATAAGGGTGTAGATGGAGCATTAAATTAACGCCCAGCTCTCTCTTTACTGCAACAGCTTTGTCATCACTGCAGACAGTGCAGTTCATCAGTCAGTCCCTCCCAAATGCCTCAATTTATTCCCAACCTTGGGCACTTCATTCTGTTGTAAATGAGAACCGTAGCCCTTAAGTTCTGAGATGCAAATTCTTATCCTAGCAGGTGATGAGGCCAGCAGGACTTCTTTTAACAGACTCAGCCCATGAGTTTGTTTTACCTTTATTACTTTGAAGTCTGTGTATCTATCTGTTTTTCTGACTGCTTGAAACTCCAACTGTCAAAAAAAACTTGTGTTTATGTCGATGGGAAGCTGTTTGTGCCGTTCATTAGCTCGTCTGTTAATCTGTTATCTGTTAATCACTGAAGCTACCTGGTGCAGATATCTATTGTGACCTGTGTCTGTGTTTGTGCAGGACTACCCCAAGAACAGACATCCGGGGTGGAGCCGAGGATCAGTGGCCTACCATGCAGGTGAGAGATTTTAACTCAGTTTCCTCTTTTTTTCTTGTTTCCCCTTAAAGGGTTGGGTTTCACAGAAGAAGTCATGTGTTGATTGTTTTTCTTGTTTTTTTTTCCCTCTCGGTGTGGAATTACCCCCGTAGTCATGTTTCAGTGGAATACATAAATTGGATTTACTTCCTCTGAAGCATCTTTTGCTGCCTTTAGACGCCAACATCACAGAGGGCCGACTCGGCTTAATGTTGAAGGTGCCTAACACAAACAGAGATCAAGGAGGATTGTAGACACAAAGGCTGATAAAACATACGGTGACAGCATCAGAGAGATAAAACGGACCAAATCTCTCTTTATCTGCTTTTCTGTGGGAGTTCGGTCAACTTTGTAAGTGATGAACCAAAACCCGAGTTTAGTTAAAGTTATCTTTATCTCCCTTTGCTTCCACACACACGTTCGGTCTTGATTGTTTGTGACGACAAGCCTGTGAACATTATCTATCCAGGCATCTGCACAAACCCCTACAGTTCCCATTCCAGGCCTCAGCACCCCTCACTAACAGCGCTAAGAGATTAGCTATCAAACGCTTGTGCCGTGATATGGGAATAGAAGCAGCTAGGTAGGTGGTTGTTATTACTTGGTGAAGCTACTGTGGGTAGCCAGCTCTTTATCTGAAAATCCAGTGTCACAATTCAGATCTTGTTAGTCCTTATCTGACCAAAGCAGTTACGAGCTCGCTGGCTTTTATCTGCTTTATTTTGTTCTGAAGCATCCCATTGTTATTCTTTCTCAAAGGGGGTTTCTGCTGCTCTTATTCTGAATGATTCACCATAACACACTATAAATGTCACTTTCCGTTCATGTTTTTCCACCACAAAAAGGGTAGGATTTTATTTTTAGAGGAATGTTTATATACTTTATTCCATTTGACCTCCAAATAAGCTATCAAAACACATTTTCTTGTTCAGTCCGCACATTCCATTTATGTTTTGAGTTAATGTTTATAATCTTAAATCCCCATATCCCTTTGCAGATTCCATTTATACTTAGGATTTATTAATAATAATAACAGTTGATGCTATGCATCCTGCCGGGGTCTGTGGATGATGCCTCATTGCTGAGTGACAGACGAGGCCTGTCTTTCACAGAGGCTCACTGTGCCAGTCCCAGAGGTCTTGCGCTGCGGTCTGCCTGGTTTGGCTGCTGTGCATTGAACACCACAGCAATGTGCACGCCCCAGTAGAGCTCGCATTAATCTTATTTGTTACAGACTAAAATGATGCATGTGGTTTTCCACGCTGTGCATATGAGGTTTGCTTTCCATGCTTCGGTTAATGTGTAGACTCTGATCCAGCAATTCAAAATCAACAGTCGGAGCCTTTTCTTCATGTCTCCACACATCCAGGATTTTCACTGAAAGGCTCATCAGTCTCAAGAATTGTACATGGGAGTACATTGACGGTTTTCAATCATTTTGTTTCTAAGGGATACCAAACTACTCTTACTAGCATTCTTTGCTAAATGTGAGACATAAAGCTGCAAATGTTTGACCTTCATCCTCACGCTCTAGTTGTTTGTGGTCTGCCTTTCTTCCTCTTCCTGATTGTGTCCATCTCAGGGCACACCTTTGGTCTGAAGATGTTGCATATTCAGTGAAGACACCCATTGCAGAAGACCTTGATTGGTTGGTAGAACTTCACCTCGCTGTTGTAGAGGCTTATATTTGTGTTCTGTGTAAGCTGTCTAGATTTCCAAATGGAGCTGAGCCTTCTGAAAGCATCCTGTGCTTTATCTAACCTGTCCTCGATAATAAATTCCACCTTAAAGTTCAGGGTACACCTGTATTCATACGTGAACAGTTCTTCCTTTAACTGTCAGATGACACGTTACAACAGCCTGACTTGGCCTAGCATGAAACTTCAGTGAGTGTGTCTGCTTCAGCGTATGCCACACTACGATCAACTTATTAAACTCCTGAAAGTGCTGGTGGCCAATGCAGGGCCAGTTGCATACATTGCAGTTTTTTATTGGACATTGGCTGCTTGTCCACTCATTTCAGTTCAGCCCTGACCATTTTCAGAGTTTTTCCCCCTTTGTTAAGCAACTTAACACTGAACTATGAATCATACATAAAAAACAAAATATTAAACATAAAAATGCATCCAGCTTTGTGGAGTCACCCGTATTGTGTATTCACATAACAGCTCGACAACTTAGGAAAGAGCAACTTTTAAATTGTATCTTTTGGCACTTTTCTACTAACAGCCTGTCACAAAAAACAGAATTTGCTCCAATTTCTTTTGTTGAATCTATGAAAAATGCCAAAGATAACCAAAGTTTTACGGGCACAAAACAGTATTTTTGCAACAACAAGGTGATTTCCAAAGGGCTGTTAGCTGGAAACTTGGCATATCTCAGAATGTGTGAAAATTAAAGAAACTGGAGAAGTGGAAGACCTAAAAAAAATCTACAGCAGATTATCAGTATCTGAAAGTCATGAAATAGGAAAACAATCCAGCAAATATCTGACATAGGACCAGATATACATCAGTTGTTCCCTGCTTTGCTTGCTCATAGGGGGTCATATGATTGTTGGGGTTTTCTCTGTATCTATGAAGCGCCTTGAGGCGACTTTTGTTGTGATTTGGCGCTATATAAATAAAATTGAATTTAATTGAATTGAACTTTTTACTGTAACCTCATCAGAAATGGTCTCAGTGAAATGGTGACTGTAAAGAAGCTTTTCTCAACGAAGGGAAACGGGCCAAATTACACAAGAATTGCCCTGAAAATCAGTGGTGATGGAGGCTTTGTCATGGTTTGGGGCTGCATTTCTCAGTGATGTTCGGGGCCTTGTCAGAACAGTAGTTGTGAATGTAGAAAAGTACTGTCAGATTTCGATCCACCATTCAGTGCCATCTAGAAATTATTGTTTACTGCCAGTGCCGTAAAAGCATAACTGTGTAGAAAAACACACAATGTAACATCATCAGTCATGGATTCGCCTCTCCAGAGCCCGGACCTCAACATTATTAAAGCAGTGTGAGATCATCTGGACAGAGGACAGAACAAAAGGCAGCCAGTATCCAAAAAGGAGCTTTGAATGTCCTCCAAGGCTGGAGAACTATTTACGAGGGCTACTTAATGCATGAATTTAAACATTATCCATATAAATATAGCGTTCAAGTGTAATTAAGAATCACTTAAGTTTTAATTACATTTTCCTTTAATGAAATCACTTTTTAAATGCTTTGCATAGCTTTGCACTCGTGCAGTGTTAGATTAGTATGAACAGTCTGTCAGAATGTACAGACCATGGCTACAGCTGAGTGGATATATACTGTATCAGTTTACTCTGACAAAGCCGACACGCTTATCTACATCAAAGTGCTGCAGAACAACACTGGTTTGCACAGCTATCATCTGCTTTCTTTCCACCTTGCTTATTTAACCCTTTAAGACCTACCATAGAACCAAGTCCGCCAGAGCTTATATTATATTTTTATATGCTGTGGTGTCATTTTTGGGAGCATTTCAAATTGCTATACATAAATACAACCATTATAGCCCAAATTTTAATAATATGCCTGCATTAAGTTCATAGTAATTACATAAATTGCAAAAAAGTGCAATAAACAACAAAAAAAATTGAAAATCGTTTTTGTTTTTTTTTAACATATATTTCTAGTTAGAGAAATTTAAGAGGCTTAACCCTCAAATCTGTAAATACAAAAAAGTTGCACAAAATAGTTTCCCACCACAGGAAATTTATTTTGAGTGTCTTCATAGTTTTATTTTTTAAATACACCAATTTTTATACACTGCAGGAAAAAC